ATCGATAGATATGTGCTCGGCGTTCCTTCACACTGCCTTGATCGATAGCTAGATATGTGCTCGGCGTTCCTTCACACTGCCTTGATCGATAGATAGATATGTGCTCAGCGTTCCTTCACACTGCCTTGATCGATAGATATATAGATAGATATATCGATAGATATAAAGGGCACGATTTTTTCACTCTAATTGAATGCTTGATCTGGAGTGTTCACATTTTCAAAGAAAACATTGGGATGATAGTTTTCAGAATCCCAACAAACTACCCAATATGTTGTTCTCTAGGTTGGTGTTCTTGGTGGTGGTGTTGGGGTAATATATAAATAATGAGCAAGAAAGAGAGGTGGTTCTTCCAAGAATATTTAAAAGTTATTGCCTATTATGTTTGACTTTATCATAAAAGCAGATAAAAAGGGAATCGCTTTTTTCCCTTTCTGCTTCAAAACAAAGATCATGCAAAAATATAGTTCATGCTGTTATTTTTATAATTGGCAATATTTTATTTTGTCTGCTCGGTAAGCTATAAATTAACAGGTTTTCAAATAAAATAGGGAATGTGCAGACTAGCTATAAACGTATTTGCTATAAAATGTTATTCAGGTTAGGCAACATTTTAATATTTATCATTAGAAACTGTCATCTTAACTTCTGTTTTCACATAATTGGCCTAAAACAACAAAAGGCTATGGTGTAGTCTGTTAGTGATTGAAGTCACTAAATTTTATCACTTAAATGCAGATTGAACTAAAACTAAAAGTATGAGAGGGTACACCCCCAAACCCTGAATTTCCCCTCAAAGTTATCTATTTAAATTCATTTTACAAAACAACCTTATCACCTTCAAAGCACTCTCCATTACGCTTAATACATTTGTCAAATCTGCAATTCCATTCTTGGAAACAGTTTTCAAACTCATCTGTTTGGATGGCTGACAGTCCCTCCCCCATTTTTTCCTTCACCTCTAAGTTGTCAAATCACTGTCCTTCGCAGAAACCAAAAGAAGTTGCTTGGAGCAAAGTTAGGTAAGTAAGGTGCGTGGGGCAGAGAGGCATGCTGTTTTTTTGCCCAAACTGGCGCACTGAGATGGCTGTGTAAGCAGGTTGCATTGTTGTGGTGGCAAAACCAGTCCCCTGTCTGCCACACATCAGGCCTTTTTGTCACACCCTGTTACACAATCTTTTCAGAACCTCTAAATAGAAAGTTTGATTAACAATCTAACACCAAATGCACTGTCCCCCTCACATGAAAAAAAAAAAAAGGCATCATCTTGATCTTTGATTTCACTTGACGAGCTTTTTTTTTTTTTGTGAGGTGACAATGGCATCTTCCACTGGCTTGCTTTCAGGGTCAAAAGAAATAGGACCATGTCTTGTCACCAGTAACGATCTTAGTAAAACATCTGGGTCTCTTTGGAGCTGTTCTTTCAAAGCATGGCATGTTTCCACTCGATGCCTTTCTCCTGGCCAGTCAGAACCTGAGGCACAAATTTTACAGCGACCCTTCTCATTCCCAAATCTTTCATGAAAATTCGCTGAGACAAGCTCCAAGATAGTCCAGATAACCCCATCTCTTCAATGGTCTGTCAGGTGGTCTTTGAGCACGAGTACGTGAATTTTGTGGATATTTTTGTCCATTTTGGAAGTCGACATTTCAGCTGTTTTGAAGCAAGAAAACCACGTGTACACTTGAGAGTTTCCCATAGTGCTGTCCTTATAAGCTGTGATCAAGATCACAAGTTTCTGCGTCACTTTTCCTGAGCAGGAAACAAAATTTCACAGCCACACCCTGTTCTCTTAAATCAGCCATCACAAAAAATGAGGTTTAAGTGAAACTGCTTTTATGAAAAAAAAATTCACTGTGACCAGAGAGAACCTTTCCAGGCGACCCCACTGGGTGCACTAACTCAGAGCAAGTTGCTTGATGTTTGCCTTTAACCGTGTACTGTGAAAGCTCCGCCCAGCAGAGTTTTTTTCCCTTTTTTTTTTGGTGGGGGGCAGGGGGTACCCCTTCGTATATCATGTTTGAAATCCATTCCCAAACTTCACTTCTCCTTTTTTTGGTACCAGCATTTCATTTTAAGAAAACACTTAAAGAACTCAAGAATAGAAATTGGGTGTGAATTAATGAGAATGATTTTCAGTAATTTAAAGAGGCTTTGTGGGTTGGGCCTTTGGCTGCTATGTGGAAGGTCAACTATTTAAACCCATTTGAAAGATAAATAGTCTTGGAGGATGGCTGTATGCTGGAATCAGTTTGATGGTGGTGGGTTTTGTTTAGATAGTGAACTCACCTTTTGTATTTAAAATGAATTTTTTAATTACTCATGATTGTGTTTGAACTTACATCCACAGACTGAGTTATGATATATGTCCGTCTGGTGATGAGTTACCAGAAGCTGTTAGCCTTTCTTGGCGGTGGCCCCTTAACTAGCACCACACCGGTGCCTGCTGTGTAGCGCAAGATACAGTCTTTAGTGATAGCTTAATTGTTGTTCAGAACTTTTTCCTATTAATTTGTGAACAAGGAACCCTGAGGCAGCGTGCTGAAGCACTCAGCTGTTAACAGAAGGTTGATGGTTTGAACCTACTAGCCGCTCTGTAGGAGAAAGATAATCAGTTGGCTTCCATAAAGATGTATAGACTTAGAACCCTAAGGAGGCAGTTCTATTCTATCCTTTAGGTTCACTGTGAATTGGAATCACCTTGATGGCAATGGGTTTTGGAACCTTCAAACAAATTTTTTGTTTTATTTTTTTTCTCGAACTAGTATTTGCTCCATATGTCCCTGTATGAAGAGTGAGATTTCCAGCTATATAGCTTTTGGTAGATACATTCTTAAAATGTTGTCTTTTGCATTTTGTTATTTATGGAAGGACTCTGAAACTTGTGCAGATAAATAATTTATAATTATAACTCTGTTTCCCTATGTCCCCGGTAGGGGTGATTGTGGTGATAATGAAAACGTATGTGTTTGATTTCCTTTTGGGGGCATTTTCTTTCTCTTTTTAATTTGACTGTGCTAAGGAATTAAATCAAAAGTGGATGAGCTAAAAGCAGCCTATGACCGTGAAGAGTCTCCAAACTTGGATGAATACGAGCCTAACACTGTAGCCAGTTTGCTGAAGCAGTATTTGAGAGACCTTCCAGAGAATTTGCTTACTACAGAGCTGATGCCCAGGTTTGAGGAGGCTTGTGGCAAGCCCACTGAGGCCGAGAAGGTGCAGGAATTCCAGCGCTTACTGAAGGGACTGCCGGAGTGTAACTATCTTCTCATTTCCTGGCTGATTATACACATGGACCATGTTATCTGCAAAGAACTGGAAACAAAGATGAACATCCAGAATATTTCCATAGTGCTCAGCCCGACAGTTCAGGTATGTGGTATTCCCTGTCCGCAGCCCCCAAGGATGGGCCCTCGGAATCTGTAGCTGGGCAGCATATCGATTAGGAACAATTATGCTCCCCCCCCCAGGGTCAGGACGGGTTGGATGACTCCACAACAGTGGGGTTGGTTTTGCTGTTTTATGATAGATTAGCTTGAATGTAGGTCCTTTTTTCTTTCATAACATGGACAGCATTGACATATAAGATGATGAGATATTCATTCTTTAACTTGAGGTATGTTTTTTTTTTCCAAGTCATTTTATTGGGGGCTCATACAATTCTTATCACAATCCATACATACATCCATTATGTCAAGCATATTTGTACATTTGTTGCCATCATCATTCTCAAAACATTTGCTTTCTACTTGAGCCCTGGTCTGTTATCTTTTTAATCATTTTATTAGGGGCTCATACGACTCTTATCACAATCCATACATACATCAATGTACAAAGCACATTTGTACATTCATTGCCCTCATCATTCTCAAAACATTTGCTCTCCACTTAAGCCCCTGGCATCAGCTCCTCATTTTTTCCCCTCCCTCCCCGCTCCCCGCTCCCTCACGAGCCCTTGATAATTTATAAATTATTATTTTGTCATATCTTGCCCTGTCCGACGTCTCCCTTCACCCACTTTTCTGTTTTCCGTCCCCCAGGGAGGAGGTCACATGTAGATCTTTGTCATCGGTTCCCTCTTTCCAACAGTTTTTTGTTTTGTTTTATATCATTTGAATATTGTATAATTTTTCATGTGGGTTTCAGATGACAGTACTCAATCGTGTATAGAGAAGAAGCCCTTGGTGCCTGCAATCATAGACTTAATGTTGGCATTTGAAGGGTTCCAGACACTTCATCATAGTCTAATTGCTTAGTTATACACCTGCACACACCTCAAACTCGGGAATAGAGGGTCTGTCATAGATTAATATAGTCAAAGATTTAACGTGAGGGCTTTATATAACTATTGAGTCACTGGTGTCTTATTATAGCACATATAATGATTGTAGAATTTGATGTGTTGTGTTCTTACACCCTAATAGGGATGGTACTCTCACAGAAGATTTAGGGGCAGTGTAAGAGTCCAGGTAGGAAGTAATCTCTCTGATTAGTTTTCAGCCCATATAGTATACTATACTTACAGCATATTTAAATAAGACTTATAGTCGTATTTAAAAATGTGCTATCCAGGTATGCAAAGAAGTGGCACACTTTTGCTAAGGAATTCTTCCAGCCTCTGCCCCTCATAAGCACTGCGTGTGCTCTTCTCTCATTGTTTCTTATTAGATTCCTGTGGGAGTTAAATGGTCTCAAAAACCACTTGAAAATAAAGAATGTGATGTTTTCTCATGTTTTAATACTATAGTGATGGAAAAGCAGCTGTGTATAGGTTGCTTAAGACACTCCAGTCCATTGGCATAATAGGGTTCTTAATATTTGTGTTCTACCTGTTAATATGGTAAGTAGTGTTTGGGGTATATGTAAAGTGTATGAGTGGCCATTTAAGGTAAAACTATTGGTCATTAATACATATGGATAAAAGCAAAAACCCAAGAATCAGAAGGAACTGGCTTACACGATTGTTTGTCTACACAAACCGCTGCCTTCTCCATTTTGAGACTAGAGGAACACCGTGTGTACTCATCCATGCGTATTCTGCTCACAGTGCACACAGGGAGCTAACGTGAGATAGTTAAAAAATTCCCACCGGGGTGGGAAGAGAATATAACACATTTGTTATATGTGTAAAAATTTTGATAAATGCTGCCTGGCTACTTCTACTGGACACTGATCAAGAACACAGTAAATGAATTCTAATAAAAAGGGAGAACATGTAGAACAGAACTTTAAATTAACCCACTAAGGCTAGAGGAATCCCCAAAACTATACCCCTGAGTTGCTCTTCCAACGTTGAAGCTGTCCGCTGAGTCACCTTTAAATAAGAAACAGTTTCTCCTCCAAAGTCTAAAAATGGCATCCTAGAGCAGTACATTTCTTCTAAAATTATACAAGACCAAAGAGTGAACAGCTATTTTAAAGCAAAGCACAACGTGCTACTCCTCAGCTGTGGCATCCTTTTCTTGGCTTCTTGGTGCAATCTCTCAGGATGCTGGAGTACATGATTTAACCCACTTGCCTCCCTCCCCTCCCCCACCCATGTTAAAGATTGACGCATGAACAATGAAATGAAATGATCATTGTAATACTTTTCTCGAAAATCTTTTTTCTCAGATTAGCAATCGTGTCCTGTATGTGTTTTTCACACACGTGCAAGAGCTCTTTGGAAATGTGGTCTTAAAGCAAGTGACAAAACCTCTTCGGTGGTCTAACATGGCCACTATGCCCACACTGCCAGACACCCAGGAGAGCATCAAGGAGGAGATCAGAAGACAGGTGTGTGAAACGCCATCCCTGTACCTGTAAGCTTTTAAAGAACCACTTCTGGACTGGCACTTTGAAGACTGAGTATCATTCTTCACAGCTCTGGCTGATTGAGCACTTTTGGGGGGTCTGATTCTGTGTTAGCCACATCTTCATGGCACCCTGGCGCCACTGCATGCAGATTAGACAGAAGCAGCATGGTAGAACAATTATGTTCCAGTGTTGGAATCAAAAGATCTGGTTTTAAATTCTTGCTAGTATCTAATTTACTGATTGGTTTTAGGCAAGTTACTTATCTTCTTAAACCCCAGTGTTTTCAGTTTTAGACAGATGTGGGACTGAATGAAATAATGTGCTCAGCACAGTGCCAGGCAGTAGTAAACACCCCAAAGCATTCACTCATCCAGACAGGGTTGCTGCTTCCCATCAGATACACTGTTCAGAGGACACGAAGACTTAGGGAGGTAAAGAACGCTTGTGTTTCATCTGCTTATTACTAAGCTCTAGCTCGGAAAGCCAGGTTTGAGCCAGGCCGGAGGCCTTTTTGATGTGCTCCTTGTATATAAGAAACAGTACCATTTGGTTGTATGATGGCTTTCGGTTTGTTTTATTTTTTGGCGAGACTGAATAAGAATTGCAAGACTTTAATAAGATCCTTACTTACATTTGATTATTATTATATCTTTTATTTGAATATATATCATGTGGAACGAATTTCAAATCTCTGCTTGTGTTGTTTTTCCTCTTTTATGTGCTCAGAGCTCCCAGTTCTCCCTGGTTAATGACAGGGTGAGGAAATGTGAATTAACTACTGTGGAGCCAGGATAACTTGCTGAGTGAAAATACGATGCCCTGCCTTTTTTTTTTTTAATTAGTTTGTGTATTTTTAACAGTTTCACTGACATACCATTCACATATCACATATTTAAATTGTTCAGTCACTTGCATATGAGTTGAGCAGTCATCACCACAATCAATTCCAGGACATTCCTTCCTTGTAGTCATTGTTAGCTTCCCACTTCCTGTTAGCAGACCTTGTCATGTCCCTTTGACTCTTAATCCAGTTGTTGCCTCTTTCGTTTACCTCATCTGATTTGATAAAGAAAATCATACATAATCCAGACAGAAAACAAATGGCTCAACAACAAAGAAGCAAAGGAAAACCTCAACTGAAAAGAAATGTAAAAATATTCAACATTGGAGCAGTTGTACTGCAGTGTCCTTCAGTCATCTTCTTGCAAAAGTAACTTAGGTCGTCTTCCATGCCTTTAAGCAAAAGTGAAAAGTAGTTGACCCGACATCCTTAGAGATCGCATGGCTGCTCTTTTAACATGAGAAGAAGACTGGAATATTACTAGTGTGTGTGCTTTTTTGTAGGAGTTTCTTTTGAATTGCTTACATCGAGATTTGCAGGGCGGGGTAAAGGATTTATCTAAAGAAGAAAGATTATGGGAAGTACAAAGAATTTTGACAGCCCTCAAAAGAAAACTGAGAGAAGCTAAAAGACAAGTGAGTAAACTTATTTTTGTACATCATGTTTATACTAAGAATGTGTTGGTGTCTTTGATAGCTATTCTTTTTAAAAAATACACTGCATTTTGAAGTTCCTGATGGGAAATTTGTTTGCTTAAAAGTTTTCAGGTTTACATTATTGATACTTCACCCTAGTCTCGGTCAAGTGTTTTATTTTAAAAGATTTTTTTAATTTTAAAGATAATTTTATACTGAAAGCTGTTTTATTATCTTATTATATCTATAAACAGCTTTTTTCAGTCTGAGAAGCAGGTTGGAGGGTAACGTCTTCAGAGACATTTGAAGAACTTGAGGCATTGAATTGAGTCAGCCCTTTAGAAATGTGTTGGTATGGATTGCATGGAAGATACTGAAGCACTGGAGGAGTATTTCCTTCATTGGAAGAATTCATGTAACTGATTCCTAAAAATTTGAGTAATCAGACATTAGATCTTTTCTCTCACTTAGTGTGTGTTGTGACTCTAGGACTGTGGGTTTATCAGCTACACCAAGACTTAAAATCCCAAATCACTGAAGTTTCTTACAATCTGTATGTTGATTAAAGTGCAGGATCCAAATTTCAAGGCACCTAGGTCAGCATTTACCAGATTCAGATTTAGTAATGGGTCACAGTTGGGGTTGTTTCTCAAGACTAGGTAGTCTGATTAATTTTTTGCATTGAAGTATTAGAGATTGCATTTATGTGGAGAGTTGTTGTTGTTGACTGCCATAGAGTGTGACCTCAGCGCATGCTGACACTAAACATAAAAGGACACTAAATGCTCCCCGGTCCTACATCGCCCTCATGCACAGTTGCAGATGAGACTGTCTATTTCACTGGGGTTTTCATCGACTGGATTTTAAAAAATACGTCACCAGGCCTTTCTTCTGAGTTCATCTTAGATCTTGAAACTCTGCTGACATCTGTCGAATATCACACAGACCCCCACTGATAGACAATAACTGCATGTCCACTGGTGACAAATCACCCCTGGTTTCCCTCAATGCAAAAGGAGCAATCGACCACTAACCACCAATAGCTTACGTGGTTTCTAGTCTTTGTCAGGAGGAAAGCATGGAATTGGAATTTTTACAAAGGTCACGCATTTATGAAGCACCAGCAGAGCCAGCAATGTGTTTTTCTCTCTTCCCTTTTCTTACTCTTTACCCATCTTTTGTTTCATATGCTTGGTTGTTATCTTTTTTCTGTGTTGTTTGCCTATCTCCTGGTATTGGTATAAAACCGAGTTGTGTTAGTTCGGGTAGACTAGAGAAAAAAAATCCAGAGAGACACTGATGTGTGTATAAGAAAGAGCTTTATATAGAGAGTAATTGTACATTAAGAAAACATCCCAGCCTTGTCCAGATCAAGTCCATAAGTTTGGTATTCGCCCCTATGTCCAATGGCAATGTATACATTCCTCTTCAGACTCATGAAACGCATGCATCGATGCCGAATGCAGGACAGTCACAGGCCAGAGGGTGGGAAGTCTTGAGGATCCGGTGGCAGTGTAAGCATTGCAGCACTGTCAGGGGTCTCCAGTGGCTTCTCCAGCTCTGAGGCTCTGGCTGCTGTAGCCTGCCTCCATGGGGCTTGTCAACTACAGTGTTTCCAAGAGAGTGCGCAGAGAGAGTCTCCAAGGGAGTGAGCGTGTGTCCCGCTTCCAGTGAGGTCATCAGGCTACGACCTGGCTGACAGGCTAGACCCCCCCCTTCACTCTTAATCCTCCAATTGACAACCGATTATGTAACTACCACAGCCGGGGGAAATGACTTCATGTTTTCCAGTGGAGTGCTGCCTGGTAGGTTCGAACTGCAGTTACCAGTCCAACACTTAGCAACAGTGACCATAACCACAGTTGTATTAGAAAATAGTTACACCACCATAGCCAGTTACCACCTCCACCATTCTGCTTCCCCCAGCAGCCACTGAATTGCTTCCTCTTGGTGTGATTTTGCTAAAAAAGATAAGATTTAAAAGGCCTTTTCTACATTAATTTATTTTTGATAAATTTCAATCCATCAAAATTTTAAAAGATGTTCTTTGAAAGACAAGAGATGAATGTGTAAGCCAGGCAGGATGAAATATTTACGTAAGACACTTCAAAAATTCGCGGAAAATGGAATTTGTCTCCAATTTTGTGAAAACTCTCTCACATATTGCTCTTTGAAATGCAGAATATCATTTTGGAAAACAGTTTTGAAGTTTCTTATAAAGGTAAATATAGATCCCAGAAACCCTACTCTTAGGTATTTATTTAAGAGAAGAAAGCACACACTCTTAATGAGAATTAGTCTGTTTCACTGGCCCTCTGTTTTACCAAATGTGACATCCCTTTCTAGCAAAAGTACAGTGATAGAAAGCAGGTCAGATTTTAGTAACAAAATGTTCTATATCATATTAGTGGTAGTCACTTGACTTTGTTAATTTGTCTAAACTACCATATATACTCGAGTATAATCCGCCCCGAAAATCAGCCAAGGCTCCTAATTTTACCACAAAAGCTGTATTAAAAATGTGCTGAAAACTCGGCTTATATATGAGTATATACAGTGATTAGTCTGACAGTACACTTAAAAATTGACTCCTTCCCTGAAAGCGCCAAGGGAGAAAAGGAAAAGGAAAGCGCAGTGTAATAGACGGGGGAGGTTCAGATGGTGACGCACACTACAACCCGAGTGACGCATGCTCACAATGCATGCACACGCCCATTCAGATGATCCATCTGACTGTTGACCTACCAAAAACCTCTTCCTTGTGCATTGGGTGCCGGTTTACAGAGAAGCAGATCCTCAGTTTTTCAACACTGGATCTTAGCCAAAAGGCGGAGGAGTGACTGGGATCATCGATTTTTCATCCAACAACTCATGGCTTGGTGCTGCGGCTCGTGCCGTGCTCGTGCCTCAGCGCAGCCGCACTCGCCCCAGTCTTCCCGTTCCCATCCCACCCTCTTCTCCTTCTGAACTCATCTTGGGCACGCTGCCTCTTGCTCCCACGTGGCTGGTGATTCTGAGCCGCGCATGCCTTAGTCGTGTCACTATTCCCTTTCAGACCTGTCGGTTGGCTGGGAAGTGAGCCGCAGAGTGAGGTCATTTCCAGACCTGAAGGATAACTCAGGGCCATATTGTGAGCGATCCAACAGCCTCCGTCCATCTTGAATTTTGTTTTACATGTCCCCCTATGCTAACCGGGACTTTCTACGATGAGTCCTTTCTGAGCACTTGGTTGTGGTAGCCAGACACCATTGACTCCTCCTGGGCTTAGAGTGGAGGAGACTGATCCCTTAGTCCATTGCAATAAGTATTTACAGGTGTATTTGATTTTCATCGCTCTTCTTTCCTCTGGGCAGGGAGAGAACAATAATTGCACTTAGATACCCATTCATGAGTTTTACTACCCCAGTTACTCCTGGCCAAAGTAGGATGTAGACCAAGATCTTTGTAAACTATCTTATGGCAATTGACCTTGGTGATTGATTCCCTCTAGGGGACTGGTTATGGCTAAGTTTTCACAACTTTGCCTTCTATACGTCCCCCCTTAGCATTTAAAACCTGTTACACTGTAGCCCATAACCCTGGATAAAGTATAGGCATATGCTTGTGCAGCATCTCTGGATCATTCCAGCACCCTCCTCTGAACTCCTCTGGGAAACACTGCTTTAGGATATCCATCTACTAGAAGGGTTTTCGCATCATTGCCCACTTTGAGGAATACTGCCGTATCACCCACGTTGGGTAACAGTGCCAGAGGATGACCCTCAGGTTAGAAGCACTCAGAACAAGGCTCAGGAAGAACTGTCCTCCCAAAGCACACAGTAGGAAGCTGCTGAATACTATGGCATCTCTAGTCAACGTTTGAGGAGGAAGCGCCATGCGGTTTACCACGGTGGTTGCCTTATTGTACATTCCCACCAGAGTGTATGAGAACGCCAGGCTCTCCACCCTCACCAGCGTTTGTTGTTTTCCGTTCTTTTGAAGTTTGCTATGACTGCCACCACTCCTCTGTCAGTTTGTTGACCTCCGTGATAGTGGAAATGATGGTGCTGATCTTTATAAAACCAGCAGGGACTCTCAAAGCCGAGCTTCCAGACGAAGAGCAGATGAAGAAGGAGGACCAGGCTGTTCTCTTCTGAGGAATTACCCACTGAGGACTCTGAATAGCAGAGAAACGTGGTCAGCCATGGTGCCAGAAGATGAACCCCCCAGGTTAGAAGGCACTCAAAATATGGTTGAGCATGAACCGCTGTCTTGAAGTAAATGGTACCCGAGGGATGTAGGCAAACTCCATCTTTTGGGACCTTCGTCTTTTGTGATAACTCAAAATGAGAAGAAACAGCTGCAAATATCTGTTAATAATTGGAACTTGGAATGTATGGATTATGAATCTTTGCAAGTTGAAAGTCATCAAAAATGGAATGCATAAAGATGGATATCCTGGGTCTTAGTAAGCTGAAATGAACTGGTATAGACCGCCCTCCCAACCCCAGCCCCACAGTTTCACTGGCACACAGTTCAGTAGTTCAACATCAAGAAGAGTGCAGTGATCACAACAAGTTTTGGAACATTTTCTTCACTCTTGTACTCGTTGTTATTAATTCCCCATTTCCCCCCAGCCTCCCCTGCCATAGCCCTAAGGGACCATTTAATCCAGTTATTGTCTCTATAATTTTACCCATCCTGGATTTTATATACACAAAAACATGGGGGGGGAAACCCTAACAAAAATAACAAAGTGAAACAGGAAAATCTCAATCAAAAAGAAAGCAGAGACTATTAAAAACTAGAACAAATGAAAATGAATCATAAGGGAGATCAAATGATAAGGTGCTAAATTTCAACCTAACTATCTTCAGTAGTCCAGTGTCCAATACATTCTGCATGTTAACCAGGCTAGTCGCATCCCTGGTCCATGGTCAGAGTGGATTCCCCAGGGGTTTTATCCATGTGTATATTTCCCCTTCCTATTTTTTAAAAAACAAAACAAACTAAAACAGCCT